CTTTCCTTTGGCATTTTCCCCAAATCGTCTGTTGCCCGCATCTCTCGAGCAAGACTCCTCAAACACTCAGTCATCTCTGCTGTGATTCATTCTGTTAATCGAAATCAAATTTCGAAGAAAATCTATGACCCTCAATAATCATAGTTGAAGATTTGCTGCGACTCTCGACCACCATCATTGAAGATCTGTTACAACTCTCGATAACCATTGAAGATCAGCTTCATTCACTGAGACGTGGGTTGTTCATTCTGATTCCATTAGTTCACTTGACTTAATAAGTACATCTCTATCTGTGTTTGCAATTTAGGAGGATATATATATATCTGTCGAAGATTCTAAACAATATATATATCTCTGTCAAAGAATCTGTGTATATATATCTTTGTCAAAGAATCTATGTTTAGAATCTATATATGTAGAAGTCATCATCGCCTAGAACAATAGAAAAGTGGCTTTGGCGTACGCAATAGTGGAAAAATTAGCTGCGTACCAAATAATACGGCTTTATGAATTCTAACCATTTGATGAGGAAAAATGACGTCTTTCAATTATTATAAGTAACCGTGCATTAGACATTTTAAATAACGATAGTTGTTTTGATTGCATTGTGCATGTTATTGTAAGTTGGAACTAAAGTAGGTTTGTTAAGTTCCAAAATTCCAAAATGCATATTAGCAGAGGATATTCTTGTTAGTATAGACTCATTGGCCGAAGTCAATGAAATACTCTTGGGATCAAATTTGTGAAAAATATTTATTGAATAGGCAATTGAGAGTAATGCATGTTTGACAAGACCTCATCAAGGAATCAAAACAGTTGGGAATGCTGTTCAACAAAATGTTGCTTGGCCCTCTATTGATGTATGTTTAACTTCTTTTAATTCTTTATTGCATATACGCATGTTTTTTTTTCTATGTTGTAGTGGTTTTATAATAACAAAAGTTTTATTTGTTTTTTCAGGTACTATTGAAATGGTAGGTGATTTGCAAAAGAGTTATGGAAAACCTTAGGATTTTTTTTTTAACATTTTTATTATAAGCATATGTGGATACAACATTGAACCTTTTGTTTTAATTTTATCTTTTTTATTCGTACTTGGGGGATTAACATTATACTTGGTAGCTTTTAAACTGTTTTATCTACTTGATGATTTGTTTATGTATTTATATGAACATATTTTTACTTGGAGTTTAAATTTATATATGAATGAAATTGTATGTGGAATTATTTGAATGTGATAAGTCTTTTTGATTTGTGCTATCTATTTGTATATACAGGGTAGAAATTGATAATATAAAAAAATTTAAAAAAGGTTGGCATTTTTTTTCGACCGCATTGTTGCTGTCACAATTGTATTTTTTCAAAAAATATAATACATTTGTGACGGCAAAGTCTCTGTCACAAAATGTTTTGCAAATTTGTGGCACCATTAATTGCGTCAGACAATTTCTGTCACTAATGTTTTTTGCGATGGCGTAATACTGCCTCAAATACTTTTTGCGGCACTGCCTATTGCGGCTACAAAATGCCGCTACAAAGCCATCGCAAAAAAGATTTGTGGGAAAAAATATATTTTTTGCAGCAGTTTTTTGCCGTCACAAAAAATATATTTTCTTGGAGCGGAAATTCATTCTTATATGAATGATAGCACTTGACTAGATTCAGCTGATTCAATGATTCAAGCTACAATGTCTTAATAAATATTTATCAAAAATTTATTAAAAAAAATCAAGTGACATAGAAAATAATAAAATATAAAAAGTAGCGTTAAAAGTGTCTGATCCATGTCCCTAACCCGAGGCTTGCGTTCTCTCTAGTGGTGTCTGGTGAACAGCGAATATTTTTTTCATGAATATGATTAACTTTGTAGATGAAAATTTCTAAATACCCAATTAAGTATTGTTGGATACCTTATTTATTAAAATTAAATGGTTTTTTTATTTTTTTGGGCCATAATATTAGTCTAAAGTTGTAATGGGATTAGCACCATTACATTATAGATAAATGTTATGTCAGAAAAAAAAACTAAAACTTTTATCCAAAAAAATTAAAAAAAAAAAAAGAGAGAGAGAAAATGATGTAACACCTTAATCGTTAAACCATCTCCAATGCAGACCGAAATCCTTACCCAAATTTGAGTAAAAAAATAGGTACAAAGTTTGATTTAATACAAAACACTTCAATGGAGAAACTCAAAGTTAAAGGCGGATAAACCCAAATTTAAAGGAAGATAAAGTATGATCATTGGATCTTTAAAAAATAATAAAATCTAACCATTAGTGATTTGAATAAAAGTTTGAATCTCCCTTAATTTGGTATAAGTTTGGGTATAACATTGTAGAAAGTTTTCAAGATTATTTGTATCCAAATTTAAATTTGAGTATACATTGACTCCAAGACCACGGCCTTTAACGCCCTACTTTCACATTCAGAGGTATTATCTAATTATGAATCATCTAACCATAAGAGTATACTAACGTACTATTAAATAAATAAAAAACATTCAAAACCCAATAACTAGCTAGATAAATCTCAAATAAAAAAAAAACATAAACAAATCCTTTGGTTTACATCCAAAAATCAAAATAATAATTCTTTCAGCTAACTAATGAACAAATTTTCCAAAATCAGTATCCTCCCTTTATGTAGTTTGTCATTCACATCATTAATTTCACTAGTTTAGCTGCAAAAAAAAGAGAGAAGATAGAGGAACGTAGAATTATGAGAGAGAGAGAAGGGGAGGAGGACCGAATTTTGGTGATTAGGTGTAGATTTAGGGTGCGTGGGGGAGGGTTCAAAAATTAAAATTTCCAAATGGTATAAAAATTTTGGGAATCAATATGGTATGTCAGATCGAAAATTGTGAGATGATTTGAGACTTTAATAGCCTAAAACAGATTAGGATAACGTCCGTCGGATGATGCATTATTTAATCATGAAACGATCTCAACCGTTTTTTACTTTTACATTTAAATTTAGTTCTACTTTATTATATAGATGTAAAATGTGGCTCATTCAAGACTCTGGCTGCATAAGAACTAATTAAAATTTTAATCTATTATATTTATTAAATTAATTATGAGTTTTAATATTAAGTTTAAACCATCTTTTAATTTTAATAATTATAATTATTAAAATTATATCTCAATAACGTTTTCCTTGTTGCAAACAAGTTTCCAGTACATGGGTTCACTAGTAGAGCTATATAGGGGCCCCAAAGCCCATTCACAATTTCTTTGAAAAATTATATATATGGGTGTACACATGTATTTTAGATATTATACATACATATCCCATTGCGTTTTTTTTTATTTTTTTTATTTTTTATATCCCATTGCATTCACCTTGTGTTTCGTTTAAATATTAAGAATGACCGGATTATATAATATAGTTCATTCCTTATCTATTCATCCGGTCCTTGGACTAATTATAGTGATAATCTCTCATTATCTTATGTTTGGTTTAAATATTAAGAAATAGTGGACCTCATATTTATTCTATCCAATACTTTATTTGGATGGAGTATTGAATGATAGTATAAATATTAAATTACTAAAAAACTCTCAAGATAAAGAGTGATATTCATACCCTGTAAATACTTGAGGGTAACAATGTCTTTTGACCAAATACATCTCAATTAGACTATTTAAACCCACCAAAAAGTTGGGTTTATTTAAGAGGTTGTATGTAGTATTAAATAAACTATTCATCCGAGCCGATATTATTTTTAGGTGATAATTATGAGCCCAAAATATGTATCCAAACATGAATATAACATGGATAAAGTGGGCTCACCGTTTAATCTCTTTTATTATGTGATAATTTTTTTTAAATTGATTTTAATTCAAACTTAAAAGTACTTACGGTTGGCTTACATATGAATTCTATCTTCTGTGAGATGTCGTCTCTATTTTTCCTAGTGTTGCTTGTTGGCTTTAAAGTTAGTACTATGCTTAGGCCTAACATTTTTTTTGTTGGTTTTTCTATTTTAATATCTTAGTGAAAATACTTGAGAATAGATTAAAAAATTGAAGATTGTGAAAATTCGATTATGTAACTTGTTGAGTGTTCAATGAATGATTGATAGCTTTTTAATTATAAAATGAAAACTAGCCCTATTTTTTTTTTACAAATAGTACTAATTAGTCCCTTTTTTTTTGCTTATATATATACTATATTTATTGGTTTTCAAACTTTTTAAATGGATTTTTATATATGTATTATTTTACTTATTGTCAATTAGGAGAAAAAAGAATTAGATTATGGTTCTACCCTACTTCGGTTACCAAAGCTTGGTGATGCCTTTGAGTCATGGAGGTCACACATTTAGGCAATTCTAAACAAAATTGTGAAACCTGAAGGTGTAAAAGACTAAGAAACACGTTTAAGAATGAGTTGTTATGAGTAATGAATTGAGGGCAAGAAAATCAAAACACGAAAATAATGGTGACTCGTTTTATTGAAGAGCAGGAGTGATGATACCGAAAAATATACAAGAGGCAGTGGGATTCTAGAAGGCAATAAACAATAAAAAAAACTACTAGAAGGGGTAAAAAAATTTTTTTACCATCAAACCATACCTTGGACAACAAGTCACACCAAATATTCTCTAAATATTCTCCTAATATTATGTTATAAAAAACAATAATCACTATGTTAAAAAGGAACCTCAAGTAAGGAAAAAACCTCATTATACTCTTCTTCTTCAAGAAAACAATATACAATCAATGAGTAAGAGTTTTAATTACAGTGGGTTAGTCAAGCTTTTCAGCTAGTGTTCCACTTATCTTCTTCTGTATTCTCATTCATTTTTACACACATGACACGCCCACCAAAAGCTCATCCAGGTCTTCACCTCATACCTTCTCGATTTTTTACCACCATCAAAGAGAAATCCACTATTGAAGATAGACTCTTACTCCTAGAGGTGCGTGCGTGTTATTACTCAATCAAGAAAATATTGAGAGAATCTTGGCAGTTGAGAAACTTAGGCCAAAGGCATGGTGGAGCTTCTAGATGACTTAGCTTTGTGCCCACAGTAGGCTTTCTCAAGAGGTTCCTCCTTTGTTCATTTAGGAAAAAAGCAATTCACGTGGTGGAGAAAGTTGGGAGAATCTTGGCAATTGAGAAACTTAGACCAAAGGCACGGTGGAGCTTCTACATGACTTACCTTCGTGCCCACGGTAGGCTTTCTCAAGAGGTTCCTCCTTTGCTTCGTGTCCAAGGTAGGCTTTCTCGAGAGGTTCCTCCTTTGTTCATTTAGGTAAAAGCAATTCACATGGTGGAGAAAGTTGGGAGAATCTTGGCAATTGAGAAACTTAGGCCAAAGGCATGGTGGAGCTTCTAGATGACTTAGCTTCGTGCCCACGGTAGGCTTTCTCGAGAGACGACTCCTTTGTTGTAGAGAAAGTTGGGAGAATCTTGGCATTTGAGAAACTTAAGCCAAAGGCATGGTGGAGCTTCTATTACTTAGCTTCGTGCCCACGGTAGGCTTTCTCGAGAGGTTCCTCCTTTGCTTCGTGCCCAAGGTAGGTTTTCTCGAGAGGTTCCTCCTTTGTTCATTTAGGTAAAAGCAATTCACATGGTAGAGAAAGTGGGGAGAATCTTGGCATTTGAGAAACTAAAGCCAAAGGTATGGTGGAGCTTCTAGATGACTTAGCTTCGTGCACACGGCATGTTTTCTCGGGAGGTTCCTCCTTTGTTAATTTATGTAATTTCTGTGTTGAACAACATTACTGAACTTACCAAAAAACAAAGAAAGAAAGATATATATCTATAGCAAATCAGTGAATAAAAAAACATTGATGGAGAAACAAGTTTGTATCCAAAGTCTTTTTTGCTACATGACAACAGAGGCAAAGGAATATAGGACCATGGGTGTAATTGTTAGATTGAAAATAGAATTTCATTTAATCCTGAAACTCACAATTAATTATACTTTAGTACCTAACACCAACAAGGTTAGCAACCACCATTATCCTCTCACCTTTATTAGGTAATACTTGTATAATTTAACCAATTTTATACAATATTGCGACTTATGTGTTGAATATATTCTTATAGTATTGTTGTGCCCATGTAGATATTAGAACACAATAAGCAGAGATGAAGTTTTGAGGTGAGTTTAATTATTATCAACTATTGTAGGTCATTAGTTTATTTTACCATATGTATATACTATTTAGCAGTTGCGAACGATGGGGACTATGGTGGTGTTGGGGTGGTTTCATGGGGTTTGTGGGGTGGCTATGTGGTTGGTTTGTTTCATGTGCCTTGATGGTGGTTGTGAATTCGGTGGGTCAATTGTGGGATAGGGTTGGTCGACTGCTTGATATAGGTCAATTTTGGGTGGGTGGGTAGGGGGGTGGTTTGTGAGGTTCTAGGTGATCGCAGATCCTGGTTAGGGGGGAGAGAGAGAGTCACCTATAAGATTGTTGTCAAAGGTATGGTTTTAGATGCCTTGAGTTGTCATAGAATAAAAACCATCTGGTTGTATCAAAAAGAAAGCTTTTGTCGAAAACTTGCATGGATAATAAGCTAGTTAATGAAATGTCTCATCTATTCAATATAATGAATTTATATGTATTATGTACTTTTTTTCATGATTATTTTATCTTGAATTTATTTGTTTTAATAAATCTTAAATTTTCAAAACTATTTGAGCCCAATTTATTTGTATTAATAAAACTTTGATTGCATTGTACGTAATAGGAATTTATCTGTATTATAAACTTTGAGTTTATCTGTATTATTTTGAATTTATTTGTATTATAAATTTGATTTTCATAATTCTTTTAATTTCAATTTATTCATTTTAATAAGTATTATATTTCCAAAACTATTCTAAGTCAATTTATTTGTATTAATAAAATTTTAATTTCTATTATATGTAGCACAAATTTACCAATATTATAAACTTTATTTTCAATTATATTTTAGATAAATTTATCTATTTTAATAAAATTTTAATTTTTATTATACGTAACATGAATTTATCTATATTATAAACTTTAATTAACATGATTCTTTTTTTTTTTTTTTTTGGAGTTTATCGGAATTAGGAATCTTTTTAGATTGGATGGGCTGATGGGAAATCCAGGCAAATAAAAAAGTAAAAGAATCGTTCGTTTATTAATATCTTCTTGTTGCAACTTTCAAAACCGTACCATCTCTCTCTAGATCTCTCTCTTTCTCACAGAGACACAAAAGAAGATGGAGCTTAAACATTTCAACCTTGACCATCCACTGAATTTTGAGGATGTGCAAAAGAACGAAGGTACGGATGTTATGTGCTATGGGTGTAAAAAACCAATCTTAGACCATGCGTATTGTTATAAAGAGTGTGATTACTTTCTACATAAGAGCTGTGCAGAACTTAAGCGGGAGATTGAAGATCCCATACACCCCGAACACCGTTTAACACTTGAGGCAGGTTCAAGTTCAAACATTTGTGATGCATGTAAACAAAATTGGGATCGGTTCATCTACTATTGTAACAAGTGTGACTTTGTCATCTGCATGCCGTGTTTCTTGGAGGACCGCATGGTTAAACTTGCAATTCACCAACACCCATTAGCCGTCCTACTTAGGCCATCCTTGTTCACTTGTGATATTTGCAGCATGGAAGGTAAAGACTCATCTTATCTGTGTCACAGCTGTCAATTTTGGATCCATAAAAGTTGCGCCTCACTACCTTACACCATCAAGATTAATGATCACCATCATCCTCTCAGTTTAACCAAGCAGTATCTATATAATATTACCAATTTTAAACAGGATTGCAACAAATGTGACAAGTTCCTTTGGCCAACTTCTTCAGTTTACTGTTGTGGCCCCTGTAGATATTTTGTCCATGTAAAGTGCGCAACATCAGAGGCAGGGTCGTCAAGGTGAGTTTAATCATTTTGTCTTGTTTGTGTTCTCTCCCCTCCCTTCTCTCTGCCTCTCCATCCCCCTTAACAAAATCCTTCCAATGCTTTTAATTCTTGTCAACTAATACTTTTGCTTCTAATTTTGTGATTTCAGAGGTGCTGAAATAAGTAGCAGTAATAAAGATGACGAACTTCTTGAGTCTAATCCGGTAAATTTACCAGTGAATGATGAATTTGTAGATCTGGCTAGATATTTTGTTAAAGATATCAACATTAACGAGTTTGAGAAAAAAACAGAGATTAATAATTGGAGCCATGAGCATCCGTTACTTCTTTTCGATGTGCAAAATATCAATGAGGTGAAGGATGATAAAATCTTATGTAATGCTTGTGTGCAACCAATCTCCCTTCCATTTTACGGCTGTCGTCAATGCAATTACTTTGTGCACTTAGGTTGTGCCCACTTACCACAGAAGGTTCAACACCCAAGTCACCCTGAACACTTGCTTGAGCTTGGGAGATCCAGTAACATCAATTTGCTCTTCGGATGTGAATGTTGCAACATGGATAGCAATGGATTCTTCTACGAGTGTCAAACTTGTAATTTCCAAGTTGATATCAAATGTGCTTTTCTACCAAGCACTATCAAACATGAATCTCACAAGCACCCCCTACTTCAAACTGAAGGTTCACATCATGTTTGCAAGTCATGTAATCACGGGTCCTCATGGTTCATATTCAGATGTGATACTTGCAACTTCAATCTGGACTACCATTGTGCTCTGTTCCCAAAAACTATCAAGCACAGGTGGGATCGGCATCCCTTTATCCTAACCTATCATCCTCCCAATGATCATCCCGACGAATTTTATTGTGAATTTTGCGAGGAAGAAATAAACCCACAATATTGGATGTACTATTGTCATCATTGCGACCAATCTTTTCATGTTAGATGCATTTATGACAGCTTCTCAAAAATCAAGTTTGGAGGCACCCTACAAATTGATGATCACCCACACCCTCTGATGTTTGTCCAAAAGATGAAAGAGTTCACGTGTTGCAGCTGTGGTAAACCTTCTGATTATGATTTCTTATTGGAATGTCGTGAATGTAATTATACCATATGCTTAGATTGTGTTGATTGATACAATTCATTAAATTCTATTTTTTTTTTTTTTGTTGCACATCCTAGACTATGATTAGTTGGAGCATTTCTGTAATTGTGTAGATTCATATGGAGTTACTGCTTGACATGAAAGAATAGAATGAACTGTCCCCAATTAGTATAATTGATTGTTAATTCCTCTTCAGTATGAAAGCGAATATAGAGAAGCTTTTGAAGTTCATCTTGAATTCACTACAGAACAAACTACAAATCACAACCAGCCTTGATCCAGCTCAAAACCCCTAATTAATGTTCCAATTCATCAGCCAACATGTCTATAATTTGACCGCTGAAAAACTAAGGACGAAAATGGGACCAATATCAAAACTTTTTGCATGAAAATTTGATATATGTATTTATACCACATACCCCATGGATCAGATTGTATCATATACATACTATTACTTAACTTGGTAAATTCGGACCAATATGAACTCTTGATACAAGACCANAACCCCATGGATCAGATTGTACCATATACATACTATTACTTAACTTGGTAAATTCGGACCAATATGAACTCTTGATACAAGACCAGATCACATAACTCAACTAGATACAATATTTCAATCAAATTTTACTCCTAATATCGGAATCAGACTTGACTTAGAAGTCTTGGTTTGAAGAACATTAAACCCAAAATCTTCTCAAGTATTATTTCGCACTACTCTTTACAAACTCAACGAATGTCATCGGCAATCTAGAGCAATCTGGATTCGAACAAGCTACCTAACTTGAAAGACATCTGGATTCGATCTTCATCAATGCTAGTTGCTCTCTTTTGCTCCTTTACTTGAGTAAACTACTAGGGAAGACTTTAAAAAGTGTTTTTTTTATAAAAATTATGACTCATCATAAGCACTTCAAATAATTTTTTTTTAAATATTAGGTCGACTAATGCAAGGTAATTTTGATTACGCCTTATTTTATATTCACCACCACCACTATCATTTTCGCCATCCCATTATCATTGCTTTCATTGCTAATACCTGCACCACCCCCGCCTCCATAATAACCCTTAACTACTATAATTGTTACTGCTACCACCACCAACAACACTCATACTGTTGCTGCAGCCATGGTCGCCATCTCCTCCCACCACCCCTACATTGACAATTGCTGGTTCAACCCTCAGTGTCCCAACCATGCACCCTCTAGCAATCACCATTGTCACCACCACAATGTCCCCACCATTCCCACACCAACGCAACCACCACCATTACCTCCACCTCCATGATTGTCATCGCGACTGTCCCCACCACCACTAACATGTAGGTGTTACCAAGTCAAGATGTATATATTATTAAGTAAAAATTGAAATCAAGTATAATATGACAATCTTTTTTGACAATAGTTCCAGACGCAATTTTATTGGGTCATTAAGGACACGTGATGTACTTTATTTGGTAAGTAGATCCATATGACTCTTTCCCTTTTTTTAATTTCCTTTTTTGATCTAAACTGAAAAACATATTTTGCTGCTATAATTATCTGAGTGTCCAATTGAAAATATGTCTTTTTTCTCTCCTCCCTCTTTCGTCCTATTATCTCTCACATATCTCCTCTTTATACACACACGTACAATTAGAGTAATAGTAATAATCACACAATTACAGTCTCAATGACAGAGTGATTGTGACACAACTACAATAACACAGTGACAACCTTAATATCACAGTAACGTTAACACATCGACACATTCACATTGGCAAAACGATAGCCACAATAACACTACTATATATAACAACATTTTACTACAATATATGTGATATTCACAGTGACAATCACAATGATGACCATAGTAACACATCCAGAGTGACACAACGACAGATAAAATGACATAACTATTGTGTATAATAATTTTTACTATGATATAACAACTATTGGATATACATAGTCAGGGGCGAAGCCAGAACTTTTGTCTAGGGTTGGTATTTTACTAAATTTTTTTTTTCTTCTAATCAATAAAAATAAAATAATAAATTCAAATTTACTATATTGTATTCGATATTTAAAAATTCATAAAATATGAAAAGTGTGAAACTCTGATAAATATAGCATATATAAATAAAAATAACCAAAAAATAGAGACTAATCATACCCCTTCATAACAAATGAAACAAACTGCATAAAAGATACTATAATATTTCTCCATATATATGATCAAACTATTAGTCATTGATCACTCACTTAATTAAGTAACCTTGTTGCCATAATCTCTATAGCTTTTTTTTTTTAAATTGAAATCTCTATAATTTAAAAAAAATGAGTTCGACATGTCAAAAACTTACATTGATGTATCCCTAAAGTGTCCAAAATGCATCAAAAATTTAGGTACGGGGGACTATACTAATTGATAGAACAAAAATTATAGAATAAGCACACTTAAATATAGTTCAAATTATTTGAAATATACATAAGTAATACTTTAAAAAAAAAATTGAGGGTGGGCACGTGTGCCCCTGGTCCTCAAGTAGCTCCGCCCTTGCACGTAGTAACGTTTTATATATAGCAACCTTCTACTACAATATATTTTAAAACCATATATATACACACAATAATGTTATATATGAGAGAGAGAGATATGTTTGTGAGAAAGAAATTTATGTGGAGAGAGAGAGAGAGAGAGAGAGAGAGAAAGAGAGAACGTACGTGAGGGAGATAGAGAGAGATTTACGTCAAATTTTTTAGACTCTATGAGAAGGAGATTCTAAACAAGAGAGAGATTTGTGTGAGATTGTTTAGGATATAGATGAAAATTTTTAGAATCTGTATTTATTTTAGGGTGCTTATTGTCTTTTCTCACCCATTTGTCCTTAATGACCCAAAAAGTATGTGCACGGACTAATTGATTCAAAGATTATAACTATGGATCGACCTCCAAAAATTCCTAATTATTAAATATTGAATACAACAAAAAATTCAATGTGGCCCATTAAGGTCTGACTATTGGGCATCCTGATAAAGACCCATGAAGCCTAGCGCAACGCAAAAGACAAGATATGAGCTATCGTGTGCTATATGCCATCTTTTTGAATCGTCAACAATCCAACGACCTAGACTTAAGTTGGCTAGAGTTTTTAATTCAAATTCGATTAGAATGAACATCTTACTGGTTGGATATAAATTGATATTTATATTTCAATATACTTGAAAGAAATATATAATAAAATTAAATAATTATTTAATATATTTTAGTAGAAATTAAACTTTAATTTACGAACATTATCCTTTTGTGAGTTATATGGATCGGATTCCCAGATTAAATTTTTAAAAAAAGAGTTTTGAAATGAAATTGGGATTTGAATCAACTGAAATTCAATTTAAATCCGATCCATTAACAAATTTATCTAAATTGTGCCAACGCACTTACGTAAAACTCGGCCCTCGAGTGACCATTTACAAATTTGGAAGAATTTGGGTATTATTTCATACATGGAGCTTTTGTTGAGAACGAATCACCAATGCGTTGCCCTTTTAGACCCATTCAAAGCTGTTATATGAGCAAATATATTTTGTTCGGTGCTCCATTTTTTTTTATTTATTTTTATTTTTGATAAAGGACCTAATGCTCTGATTCATGGTCATTAATTATTATTGATGAGAAAAAGGCAAGGCCGTTGGGAAGACCAATGAGGAGGTCCAGAAAAAGAGAGCACAAAAGTAGTGCAAGATTATCATTGAAAGGTGGGTCGATTGTGGGGTTTTGCATTCCGTGTCGGGTGGCGCCAAATCAGCCTTTCGAAACGTTATTTTTATCCATTTTTTTATTCAATAATATTATTTGATTTTTTGTTATTAACTTAATTTATTATAGTTATGGTATGATAATGGGTTCCAATCAATAATAGACCTCAATGTCCATCCAACGACAATGCTTAATTAAATTAATAGATTAATACAATAAATTAAATACAAGTTACATCATTCTTTATCTGTTGTAAGATAAATATTAGATTGGTCTCGTATACTAATTAAATATTCTTAAATTCCTTTATTTGTTAGGTGTGAGGCTTCCATATCATTTATACAATCAAATTTGGTTTAAATTTATTCAAACTAACAAAAATCCTTCTATAAAGGACATATATATACATAAAATAATATTAATTATTTTTAATTTTTTTGTGGAGGGGAGGGGGACTTGAACCGTTGTTTTTTGGAGGGAATGAAAACTTAAACCATTGACCTCAAAAAGACAAAGTCATCATAAAAAAATGAGTATCATTGGATTAAAGGTCCATTGATATTTTCTATTGATCACTACTAGTTTTTCAATCTTTTCATTAATATCACACTTTGCACTTTTCTATACAAATATTCTTTTACATTGAAAAAAGTAATGTTATTTGGATCTAAAAATTTGATCTAATTTGCTGACATAATAATGTGGCTTCATAGAAATCATTGAATTAACACCAAGTTCTACTATTTGATGGGATCTACACTCAATCCAAATGTTACAATGAATTAGGTCAACAAATTATGTCAATAAATTATGTAACATTGCTCAATTGAAAAACGTGAGCTTGTGCTACACTTTGGTGAAAACGATGGTTGCTTCAGAAATAAGTTAAAAGGATAATACATTGATACAAAATTACAAAAATATTGAAGAATTGAGATTGATTCTTCTATTAATATGCTATATGAGGGGTAGAACGAGATT